TATTGCTGTGCAATGAAGCTTCCATGCTGGTTTGAATAAAATAAAATAAAATAAAATCTACAACTTGTCTCAGACTTGGTGCAAGTACCATGACATGGAATAAGACATAAAATTGTAACAATAGCTGATCATGCCTTGGTAAAGTTTGGGACGGGTCCTCGTTGTAAGTCATGAAATGGGAGGGGTCTCAAAGCTCTCATTCAAGCTATTTAAACACATTTGCAGTGGTTTCTAGTTTAATGCCTCTCTGTGGAAATAAAGCTCCATGTCATGGCGTTAGTAATGCTAATGGTTAACTTCTACTAGCTAACACATGCTCTACTCTCTCCTGGGCGCTAAATTACCAACAGAATTTCCTGTCGTGAGCCAAGTTGGGTGAGTCCATGAATGCAAATTTTCAATGTCATGATTGTCACCTGGTTTCCTAACCCAAGTGTTTCCTCCTCTATTTTCTATCAGCAGCTAATGCCGGAAATGGGGGTAGGAGGCTGTTTTCAAGTTTTGCCTGCATGCTTAAATACAGAGTGACCTGTCATATTTTAGAAATAAGTAAAGAATGGAATGGAATGAAAAATCAGGAAAAATTTAATTAGATTTAAAATTAGATCCTTAAAATAAAGTTAAAGTGGTGATAGTGGGCAGTGCATATCCTAATAATTTTTTTTCTCTTTATTTGTTTCATTCAAAGTGTTAAAACGTGTTCTGGTCCACCATCCGGCGCGTCGGGGGGGGAAAGCAGTGCGGAAAGCAGTGCGCTACCAACACTATCTATAGTGGGGACGGTGTGCTGCTGACCTTTACTCAGGACGTTGTAGATCGGTGGGCAGAATACTTCGAAGACCTCCTCAATCCCACCGACACGTCTTCCAGTGAGGAAGCAGAGTCTGGGTACTTTGAGTTGGCCTTTCAAATCGCTGGTGCAGAGGTCACTGAGGTGGTTGAAAAGCACCTCTGTGGCAAGGCTCCGGGGGTGGATGAGATCCGCCCGGAGTTCCTCCAGGCTCTGGATGTTGTGGGGTTGTGTTGGCTGACACGGCTCTGCAATATTGCGTGGACATCGGGGACAGTCCCACTGGAATGGCAGGCCGGGGTGGTGGTCCCTTTATTTAAAAAGGGGGAGTGCAGGGTGTGTTCCAACTACAGGGGGATCACACACCTGAGCCTTCCTGGTAAGGTCTATTCAGGGGTTCTGGAGAGGAGGGTCTGTCGGATTGTTGAACCTCAAATTCAGGAGGAGCAATGTGGGTAGTGACCGAAAGAACGAGATCGTGGATGCAAGTGGCCAGAATGAGTTTTCTCCGAAGAGTGGCTGGGCTCTCCCTTAGAGATAGGTTGAGAAGCTCGGTCTTCCGGGAGGGGCTCGGAGTAGATCTGCTGCTCCTCCACATCGAGAGGAGCCAGTTGAGGTGGCTCGGGCATCTGGTCAGGATGCCTCCTGGATGCCTCCCAGGTGAGGTTTTCCGGGCACGTCCAACCAGGAGGAGACCTAAAGGTAGACCCAGGACACGGTAGAGGGACTATGTCCCTCACCTGGCCAGGGAACGCCTTGGGAGTCCCCCGGAGGAGCTGGCCCAAGTGGCTGGGGAGAGGGAAGTCTGGGCCTCTCGCCTTAGGCTACTGCCCCCGCGACCAGACCCCGGATAAGCGGATGAAGATGGAGGGATGGATGGATGGTGTTAAAAAAATACATACATACATATATACACATATATGTATATATATATTTATACATACATACATATATATATATATATATATATATATATATATATATATATATATATATGTATATATATATATGTGTGTGTATATATGTGTATATATATATATATATATATATATATATATATATATATATATATATATATATATATACAACAACAAACAAAAAACATACATAAACACCAAAGAATTTGAATGAAAAGGGGCAGAAGGAAGAAATATCTTATATTATCTGCCCCTATTTACAAACCAAGCTTTTTCATAATGCTTCCATCCACTTTGCAATAAACAACAAAACAAAACACAAATTCATTTTATATTCTTGTAACTTACAGACCTAATCAGACACCATCTGAATTTAGGTTCTTGTAATTCTGTAATACACTTGATTTGATACATTTTTTAAATATATTTAGTGACTTTGATTATTTCATGTCTTTGCTAAGGTTGTTCCATATTCTCACACCATTTACAGAGATAGTCATCTCCTTCATCCTGGTTCTAAATTTTGGTTCTAAACTTCAGTTCCTTTTAAGAAATAATTATTGACTCTTTTTTCAAACGTTTTCTGAATGTTGATGGGTAACATATTTGTATTAGCTTTGTACAATGTTTGTAATATTTTCATGTTAACTAGATCGTAAAATTTCAAAAGTTTATATTTGATGAATAATGGATTGGATGGATCTCCATAGTGATTGTTATTAATGATTCTCAACGCTCTTTTCTGTAGAATAAACAGTGGCTGTGCATGAGTTTTACATGTGGATCCCCATATTTCTACACAGTAAGTCTAGTGAGTTATTCAATGCCAGCAATCCAGAACTATTCAGTAAAAACTTGACTTTATGTAGTACTGCAATGGCTTTGGCAATTTTACCTCTGATATAACCTATGTGTGACTTCCAGGTGAAAGCTTAATCAAACATGACTCCCTAAAATTTTGGTTTCTGTCACCCTTTGAATGTCCATTCCATTTATTTTTAATGTTACATCTTTGTTGTCTCTGTCATTAAACAATATAAAATTTGCAAGCTAGCAGTATTTTTGTGTTCGATTAAGACCTCATCAACAGATGGCTATTAGGGTCAAACATCCCTGGGAGCACAACCTCCAGCAAAATGACAAGCACATCCGACTTCCTTTCATCCTGGGCAATGAGTGAAGAGGAAAATGTGGCGCCGGTATTTTGTACACGCCCATCACATACAGTCTGTAGGGCACTGACTGGCCAGAGGAGCACCAAGCAATCACGCTTATAAAAAAAACAAAAAAAAAAACAGACTATAAATCAGGGCCGGTGTTAGCTATTTGGTGCCCCAAGCAAAAATGCTCTGTGCCCCATTTGCACCTCATTTTAGGCATAGTGGTGTCACAAAACAATATCCTAATTCCTGGATTTTCTGTTTCATGATCACGTGATGTGTGACACACACGGGTGAAAATCTACTTCAGAGCCATGATCTTTACTCTCAGGCTGATTGAGTTCGCTCCCAAGGCCTCCCTGTTGAAAAACGTAATTGATGACTTTAGTTATACTTACTGACCACTTTCCACACTCTACTACTTTATCCTACAATTTTCTTTTTTTACTGCATTATTTCCTGCTATTTCAGCTGGTAGCTTTATTTTTTAAGTGTTTTTCTCCCCAGAAGCTACAATGGTGTTCTGCTGAGCTGTGGCAGCCTCATGGAAGGGGCCCTCGGCTCGAACACTGCTGCTAATCACTTAAACATGCTTCCTCTCCTGATAATAACATTTTACTCTCTTTGACGTTGAATGTGCTACTACTAGTTTACCAATTGAATTAATTATAGATTCACTAGGATAAAGACAACAAAGCTGATTTCTTACTGAATAGACTTTTTACTAAGACATCACAATGTAACCATGGAAACACTACTTGTTGTGTGTGGGTGGGCTGGTGTGTGTGTGTGTGTGTGTGTGTGTGTGTGTGTGTGTGTGTGTGTGTGTTCTGTCTTCTCAATCCCCAGTAAGTCGTGGCGGATGGCTGCTTATACTGAGCCAGGATCCTCTGGAGGTTCTTCCTGTTAAATGGGAGTTTTCCTCACCACTGTCGCTAAATGCTTGCTTAGTGTGAGGATTGCTGTAAAGACTCTGACACTAGTCAGTGACTCAGTGCAACCTGCTGGGTTTCTTGCATAGGAAACTTTTTACTGATTGGCTTAATGAACTGACCCGTATTGGAATGTTTACCATGTGAAGTGCCTTGCGACGACTCTTGTCGTGATTTGGTGCTATATATATAACCAGGTAAAGATGTTCCGATGGGAATCTTTTTCTGATTGATTTTGTTACCTCCGTGATGTTCTCTGTGCATAATGTTTAATATGTCTGCGCACCTGTATGCATCAGGGTAATTCCAGTCAACAGCCTTGCGATTGCTCTGTCAAAAATAAACGGCCAAATAGGAAAAGGAGATTAAAAAGGACAAAACCGGTAAATAACTCATCAGTGTTGCTTTTTAAAACCCCAAAAACTTTTATTTTGAAAATCAAAAACTGAAGACATTGGGACCTCATAAAACAGCATGATTTAACTTCTCACAGAGTGTGTGTATGACACAGTCGAGTGTTTGCCTCTGACCCTTCCTGTTACCCATCATCCTCCCGCCTTTCCTCTCTGTCCAATAAATCCCAAGGGGACTGCGTTTTAGCTGACCCCTCCTCCAATTAAAAGTGCCGTGGTGTAACTCCAGATGTGAACGTCCTCCCTCCCTCTGCCTCTCTCCTCTCTGTCTCCCACACTCTCTCCCACTCCCCCCATCGCCCTCCCACATGCGGCTGTGACTTTTCCATCTCCTTTTTTGGTGAAAAAATTCAGAAACAGAGGCAGGGAGGACGACAGCTTGCCAATGCCGACAGGAAAGTGTATCTGGTGCACTGTGGATGAGTTCTTCATTGAGGCAATGAAACAGTCTACTCAGCATAAATAGCCATGTGTGTGTTTCTTTGTGTGTACCCCACAAACTAACACACACTCTCCTTTATCATTTATTACTCACAAATGTTCTAAAACTTTAGGCACGTGCAACGTTTTCTGCCCGATTGCACACGCCTGCCTTCTCTAACACTTTCTCACATGCCCACACTTTCCCCCAGGAGCTACACACACATGGGAACACACACTCGTGTTTCCTAGAAAGACATTTTAAGCACTCCAAAGGGAGTTTCTTTGGCATGGACCAACAAAAAGTGATGTTGTTTTATTAAGGAACAGATAATTCACTGAAACCAAAAAGAAGCATAGACTGTAAGGAGAAATCAGTCGATATCGTTTTATTTAATTAGGATTTAGGAGTAGGACGCATCATTCAGGCTCATCAGAAATGAACTGATTTACAGTAAATAAAAATGTGATCATCCTGATGTCCTATTTTCCATCTTAAAACATAATTTGGCAACTCTGACTCACCAGCATCAAAGCTGTAATAATCAATTAGAATTTTTAACTTACATGATTCAAATTAACAAAAACAGAACAAGCACAAAAGGAAACACAACAAATAGACATGCAGCTTTTTTTTTTTTGCAATGCACAGTAGCTATGCATTTTATTTTAGCTTCTTTTGGGTTATAAATGTTTTTGTGCACAATTATAAAACAACAACTAAATAAACTTTAAAAAATTATTTTATTTTATGCTAAATAAAACTGTAAAACTAAACTAAACTTAAGTAGATCCACGACAAAACTGTGGTCTTGCAAATCTTTGAACTGTGTTTTAATGTGCACACATATTAGCATGAGAGCAAAAACCTTCCAAAGTGCAAAACTAACAAAAAGTACAAATATTTCAGTTTTTATTTTGGTTTTTCTTAATCTCAAATTTAGATTTTAGGTAGGAAATAAACATTTTTACAAAAGTGTCACAACTTCTTTGTTGCTATGTACAAACATTTTTCCACATGCATGAGGAGAATAGAACAAAAATGGACGTGTGATGAGAAGCAACATTCAAATGGCATAAAACTGCAGTTATAAGAGCATTAAAACAGTAGCTCTATCATACATTTGAAATATAAACTGTAGGGTTTTAATAAGAAATCAGTGTTCTGTGTTTTCTCCTTAAATGTTGAATATGGAACAACTTAATAAAAAGCAGTATTTAAAAACATTAATACCTCCATGGGTTATGTGAAGATGTGCAGAATGAATGTACAGTCTTTCCTTTAAAATCTATATTTAAAATAAAAGATCAAGTATTTACTTTGACGGCACGACACTGGGTTTATGTTTTCATCTGCCACTAGAGGGCATCATTGCAGTAAAAGGTCCGCTTGGCAAGGTGAGGCGTAAAATGGCGGACTCGACAAGTTGATCAAGTTGATCTGAGCCCAGAAGATGATCTAACGATAAATACTGTTTTAAAATGAACGTATAAGTACAAATGAGTCCTTACCCTGTCTGATTGGTCACATGGTGCTGGCTGGTCATTTCACATATCAGCAGTGAACCGCCGTCCCGACGGCTGGAAAATTTGTTCTGTTGTTGCAACTATAACCTCTACACACTAGATGTCACTTTGGTGTCTGTGTTCCATATTCAACCTTTAAGTGGCAGTATTACTTATATTTTTACTTTTGTATAAAAAGAAATTATTTGGCAAAGTGACAAGCATTTTGAGCATAGAAAATCAGTTTTTAATAAGGCACTCCCTTAACTTTCATGTTAAAGAGGAATTCTTTAAGGTAATTTAGACAAACAATGCAGCATCAACATGTGCACAGCTGCGGACGAAAAAGGCCATAAAGGAATCTGAGGCAGGATTTCATTTCATCTAGCCTGCATTACCCTCCTTGACATTAACTTGGGTTTTTTGAAAAGCTGTAAAAGTGGAAAAAAATGGAACAACTGGTGAGACTATGGTGAACGAGAGGTCTATAGGCTGCTGTGGCAGCCACGACACAGGATCCGGTCCCCATCAGGGAAAAAGCCAGCGCCCACGAGTGAGACGGAGCACTGAGAACAGGTGAAGCACGGCTGATGCCACTGGCGCTCTTCAAACGAGATGTACTTTCCCCCACCAAAACCTGAATGAAGGGGGGAAAAAACAGGAGTTACATAAACTGTGTCTACACAGCATGGAAATAGAAAGAAAGCAATGGATTACAATTGATTGAATGGTGCAATTCATTCCACATTTCACTGAAGGACACAAAAGTAGGAATAGACCAACTGACAAAAAAGATAAATGTCGGCCAGATATATCGATAAATCAATATTCCGATATATTGCCCAACCGATATATCGATATATCAGCCAAACGATATTATGCATCTGTTTGCCGATATACCGACATATCAGTTGGGCAATGTATCGGTACATCAGACGACCTATATTTTATTTTGGTTGGGAAACATATCTGAATATTGATTGACCAATATATTGGGCCAATATTTATCTTATTTTTAATATACCAGCATCAACTTATATACAACTTTCACAGAGTCAATATAAAAACAGGCACATTCGCGGGCAGCCTGGAGCTGCCAAATTTAATTTAAATGTGTATTTAAGTTCCTGAAAAACACCTCCTTAAATAGTGTGCTAAAACATTATTGTCAACTGATGTTTCTTTTATTTTAATACTTGATTATTTCCTTGATCTGCTTGTTCCTTGACTTTGTTGTACCAGTAGAGTGAAGCGTCAGCAACACAAACATTTCTTTAGTTTCCACAAAACATTGTAAGAAAAAAGCACAGCCTGGCCCGGAAAGGAGTTAGTCAGACTCCTTGAGGCTCCTTCAGAGTAGTTGAACATGGCTTCCAAAATACTGGGTTTACTCTTCACCAGGGTGTCTCCTCAAACAGGAGAAGACCAAAGCACTGAGCTTCTTTAAAGAGATCTTCTTCTGTATGCTCTGGCTCAAATAAACAGAGAATGCCATTAAATGTCCCGTCCAAATAGTTTAACATAAGCTCAACATTTCACCTTGGTGTGTGGAAATAAAGTAATTCAAGTAGTTTGTCTATGTCAGAGGTTATATTCACTAAAATACACAATCCAGGGTTTTTGAGGGGGAATATGCATTTCAATTGTAATCTGCTGAAATAACACAGGCACTGAAAGGGATGACACAACTGTGAGCAGAAAAAGTGAAACGTAAACAAAAGAGTCCATCTCTGCAGAATTCCTTTCAAAAATGCTGCCAGACGCTTGTGATAACAATCTGAGCCTGTCAGGCGCTGCTTTTAACAAACTTGTGATAATATATTGCAGTCGTTTAATGGTCGCCGGTCACAGGTTGTGTAGAGACCTCTCTGCCTATCAACACTTTTACCGTTTGCTTCATATGAAATAAGCAAAACTCGTGCAGAAAATTCATAACTGGTAGGAAGGTTGTGATAAATTTTCAACTTTAGTGTACCAACAGTGAGTTTTATTACAGTAGCAGACTTTATTGCATCGGTATAACAAGATTTAACAAAGTGATGTCATCTTGCCTGTGATCGGTTTGCTGCAAGCCTCACACTTCTTGGCATAAAGGTTGCCAAAGCACTTGAGGCAATAGGGGTTGTCATCTCTGGAGGTGAAGTGTTGACCCGCCAGCTGCGTCTTACAGCTGGTGCACACAAAACACTCCTTATGCCACGGCTCGTCCCGGTAGGTCACACCACCTTTAGCCAGAGCCTTAAAAAAGACATTTATTATAAATTCAAAGCTGCAATAGCAAAATTGGAAAACAAGCTAGCTTAAAAAAAGTTTTCATGCCTCTTAACAGCATTCTAACATAGATAGCTATAAATATATTGTGGAGATTAAAATAAATAAATAAAGTGGGTCTCTTGGATTTGTCTCAAAACTTCCACCAATAACACTGTTCGGACTAACCCCAGTTTCACACTGCGAGCATCAGCGGAACGGAACGGCAGCGAAGCGGCACCGCTTCAAATAGAATCCAATCATAGTCTATGGAGTGTTTCAAACCAGCCGCAACGCGGTAATTTCCAGGCGCGTCCCAGAAGCGGCATGCCGCGCCGCTAAAGATAGGATCGAGTTCTATTTTTTCTGCGAGCCGCTTCTGGGAAATGTCAATTTCCGCAGTTCACATAGTGCGAGACAGGAAAGCACACGGTTTCAGTGTAAAATCCCCGGTTATTTTCAAAATAAAATGCAATGTTTTGATGTTATATATGACTTACGTCAGTACGTTTGACCGAACGTCTTTGTTTACCACCAGTTCCTTTCGACAAGTGCAACAGTGTGATTCCTCGCGGGGTTGTGATCTCTCGTTGAGGAAGGTGTCGGGAAGTCTCGAGGGATTTTAGAATCTCGCGGGTACAGCGAGGCGCAGCGAGGAAGCCGTGCTGCGGCCAAGACTCTCCCGGTGTGAAAAGGACTGCTTAGAAGTTTGCGAGTGAGCCGCTCCACTGCTGTTCCGTTCCGCTGATGCTTGCAGTGTGAAACCGGGGTAAAAACCAGCTAGTGGACCATCCTAAGGCTGGGCAATAAATCGAAAATTTATTGTTATCGAATTTTCTGACTAACTGATATAATTTTGCTTCGTAATGATTCTTGCTGGGGGTTTTTACTGCAAGGAGATCCAACATGTATTTTGGCCCCACGCCATTGAGTGATTTATAAACTAGTAGTAGCACTTTGAAATCGATTTTGTAGTTTACTGGTAACAACTGTAGAGATTTAAGTACAGGAGTGATGTGCTCTGTTGTCTTAGTTCTTGTCAGCTAGCAGCAGCATTCTGAAAAAGCTGCAGTTGCTTCACAGCTTTTTGGGGAAGACCAGCCAAAAGACTATTGCAAAAGTTCAGCCTGCTGGAGATGAACACATGAATGAATTTCGTCAGATCTTGTCTGAACATGAGACCTGAGTCTTCCTAATTAATGAAGATGATAAGACGCTGATCTTGTTGCCTTGTTTAGCGCTCTCTTGTTCCATCTGACAATGTGGGTTCCTGGTTCCGGTGGAGGTGGATCAAGGGAAGATACCCAAGAGTGTTCAGTTCAAAAACTAGCTTGTTTGCAGATTTGCTATAGCGGCATTAAAGTGGTTTATTTCCTCTGGTTTTTGTTTCAGAGCAGTATGAACGTTTTTCTAACCCTAAGAATATGTTTTGTTTTTTAGTGCTTTGACAGCTTTACAGACCTTTTTACACCGCGTGCAGCGTGGAGCGAACTTATCCTCGTAGCAGGGCACACAGTAGTGCTCATCCTTGTCTGGGATGAAAGACTTGGAGCCAATCGGCTCTTCGCAGCTGTGACAGATGAAGCAGCCCTCGTGCCATGTGGAGCCTGCATACTCCAGTTTTCTTGAGCCTGCAAAGAGAAAAATTGATGATGTGAAGAAAATGTAATATTTGGACATTTTTCTAGGATTGTTGGATCATTAAAAATAATAAAAAGCAAGTGTTTTATTGAACTGAGCAATAAAACACTTGAACTGTGCTGAGGCAAATAACATTTTCTGTTCCACTTAGATTTATTTTATTTAAAATATGAATAACAAAGGCTCCATACTTCTTTCCCAATGCTGGAAAATTGCAGACAGCTTTAAAAAAAGGGGATGATGCCATTTTCCTTTCTGTGACACTGACAAACCATCGTACTGTGCAACCACTGTTGCCTGTTGAGTTTACGATGCAGCGATGCAGCGGCTTATGCGGGGCCAACATTTCTGCAGATTGCTTCAGTCCGCTCTGCTCTCTAATCAAAAACACAAAAATACCCTGAAATTCCAGATTATGAGTTTACACAGAGCCAATTGTGGATGGAGATGGACTAAGTTTGCTGTCAAGCATTTGCAGCGGGCTGCTAAATAAATATGCGGTAAATAAAAGTAAACCTACTGCAAGTGAAATTATACTTTGGTTAAAAGGGAGAGGGCTCTGCATTTCAAAAAAGTGGCAAAGGTTTATATCTTGCACAAAAAGTGCAAACCCTTTTAGAGGCTGGGTCGATACCAGGATATGAACAAATTCTGGCCTTGTTTGCTTTTTATTTAAATAAGTTTGTTTTCCATATCAGACAAAATAATACTGATTTAGTGCCAGATACAAAGTGTTGGGAAAGTGTCATTTCCCCTCCAGATATCTTCTGTTTTATTTTTATTTTTTTGTTTTTTCTGAATTACACTAAAATGAATGGACATCTTCCCGTATGTTCTGCCTTTATCTCATAAGTCTACCGATTATTTCCTGAAAATCGATCATTAAGACGCATTTCAGTAAATGTGAAACAGGCCCTTGTGTTTTTTCGTCACTACAGAATATAGATTGTAGCCTTGAAACTCGTGGAGGCAATTTTCCCTCAACTCTTATTGGAACTTCTCACCCTATGGCCAACACAGAATATTTACCGTAATAAATTTTCTGTGGTCTCCAGTATGAATTAATAACTTGTGAGCCATTTTCTGTGAAAAAAGAACCTCCAATGCTCTTGTTTCAGGAAGTAGAAGTTATAGAGGAAAAGGAGGCAGAAACAACAGGATTTGGATTCTCACTCTTAACTCAGTAATTCTCACTCAGTAAGTCTTGCATCTGATTGGCTAACGACAACATGACTCTTCTATTGCCTCCGTTCGCTCTGCAACATTGACATTTTATGTCCACAAATAACACTGATGAAAGACTTTTGTAATGTATTTCAAAAAGAAGTATTTCTCTAACTTTTTCTTTAAAGACCATGTTCACTGAGAAACCATTTTTCACTTACTCAGTTTAACATGCAGGCTGAACATGAAAATAGTCTTCTACCCATATTTCCTGCTTTAGCATTCGATAAACACAAAAATGCTCGGATTAGAAAAGCCCGTCAATTCCACTTCATGTTGAAAAATGGACATCGCCATCTTGGCTTGTGATGGGGAAGGCGCTTGTTGATTTAGCATCAGGAGACAGCGGAGCATGTCTTGGCTAGTAAAAGCTAACTGTTAGCATTAGCAACTCCACAACATGAAATAACTCCTTCAGGCTTGGGTTGTTTGTGGAGATAAAACATCAACGTTGAAAAGCAAATGGAATTGGTGGTAAAGTCATGTTACTGTTAGCCAATCAGAAGCAAGATGTTCAGGGAATAAGACTCCAAATACGTCCAGCTGCTGCTCCCCTCTGCATTGGCTAACTTCTAGCTCCTGAAACAGGAGCGCCTGAGCTTTTATTCCTCAGAGATCGACTCACAAGGCATTCATTAATACCAGAGACCACTGCAAATGCATTAAAAAATAAGTGAACTTGGTCTTTAACAAAAACTAAGTGAAGCCTGCAGTTCTTTTGATGTAATTCTGGGTTTTTTGTTCTCTAATGGACAATGATGTGTAGCTTTTTGAGATTGTTTAGCGTGCTTCATGTTCTTAATCATGTTCAATGGAAGATATTTTCTAAATTCTCCAAGTCTGGCAGATATCAGGTCTGGGCGGGGCTAGTGAAACTAATCTGGTAAGGGGTGTAACTACATTTTCAAACGGGGCCATTTGATTTAGATAGCTTAATCTTTTGTAAAAATGAAACCATCATCTGAAAACTGAACTTTGTATTTATTCTTGGTTTTTGTTAAAGGGATACTATGCAATTTTTCATATGTTTAAATCATCTTCTTGAGTCAGTATTTACTAAAAGGGCCATTTACAGGGTTAAAGAAATGTCACTCAGACCCCACCATCCCTTGGCAAGAATACTGCACTTGCAACTTCAGTAGTGCCGAGCTGCTCCCCGCTGGGGGAGCTGTGGATTGCAATGGAGCTGACAAGGTGGAGCTGGAGTTTGCTCCCAGCATGTTTTAGATTGTGAACGCAGCTGATTTGCTTGATTAAGCGATTAACCGTGTCTGTAGAAACTAATGAAGGCTGAGGAGACATTTCAGCAGTTAGATTAAGGTGTTAAAAAGATGAATTCACAGCAAGGAGATAAGTTTCATCTTTGGTTTAACCACAGTGAATTAATAAAGGACACTAGGGAGCTAAAATTAAAAAAAATTCCTGGCATCCCTTTAATACTGAAGTTTGTTTGCTGAAAGTTAGTGTAAAAAGGAAGCAAGCGCAGAAAACAATATCTATGGGAGTAAATACTTTTTCATCGACCTTTGTGATAATGAAGAAGAACGCTGACATCTGGTGCAACGCAAATAAAAACGGAACTAGTTCTGGAAACAATGCAGCTTTGTGAACACTGAGGAAGCTGCTGCAGGGGTGCAGGATAACTGGCCTGCTTATCTTTTATTATGATCGGATCAGATGGCAGTTTTCCAGCAGGAGGGCTCTGGCTTGCAGGCATCGAGTCAAATAACTGTCACATATCCTAGGACAAGGACCCCAAATTCCTCATTCTTCTCTTTTCCCTTACACATGTCCTCTTTGTCAGGCTTTCTTAGTCATTTTCATTTGTCCTGCCTCCAGATATTTGCTAATGCATCATTTTACCAAAGTCATTTGACTGTTATCATTTTAATTTGTTTACTTAACATGTGGTTAAGCGCATGCAAAAGTGTGCAGCACTGTGCAAATAATCCTTTCATTTTGGATTTAAACACATTTTCATATAAAAGCACAGGTGCAACACACACTGGTGAGAATGATCTTGCAGCCCCGACTTCCGGCTGTACCTGGCATGACAATCTTGTCGCATGCCACACACTTGGAGGAGAATTCGTTGCAGTAGCAGTCGTTGCAGAGCAGCGAGTCGTCCTGGCTGGTGAACGGCTCGTCTGCCAGGGAGCGATCGCAGCGGAAACAACGGAAGCAGTGCTCGTGGTAATGCCTGTCCTCGTAGAAGAGCTCCTGGCGGTGAAAGGAGAGGAGAAGACTTACTCAGGTGTAAAAACAAAACTTCTCAGATACAAAGTGACATTTGTTCTGATGCATTAGCTCATAAACTGTTCAGAACTTCTGGTATGAAAAGAACATAGCAGGAAGACTTCATGTAAATGTAGGCTATTGTTTACAATATAAGCTGAAAGCAGTTGGAGTTAAACGAATTCCACCCTGTCTGCTGACGGTGTCATGTACTACTAAGCATATTTACAGACTTGTTCCATTTTAAGAGGTTGGCACTATTTACCTTTCACCACTCATAAGGGTGTCGATAACTTACTGGCCTCCTCACAAAACAAAAGCTGCACTTCCAGCTCAACAAGAATCCTAAAAAGCACATCTTGAATGTATATGATCAACTCCCCGTTAGTGTTTTCCATTAGAGGAAGATTGAATTTTAACTTGGTTGTGGTCAAGAGAACGAGCGACGTTCTTTCATCCTGCATTTTTACAGTCTTAGTCAAAATTAGTCTGATGGCTTATGTGGATTTAGAGGAAATTGCTTGCGTAATTATTCGGTAAATTATCTTTTGCAGTGTCTTGACACACAAGATAAATAGAACACGCCTCATCTACTGTGAATTAGGCTTCATTAAGATGACATAGATGCTGTTTTAGTCATCTAAAGGCAACGGCAAGACTACAAAAATAGCTTGAAGCTAATAAGAGTTATTCTTTGATGTGTTTTATTATTTTTTCTGATTAATGTGATGAAAACATTTTTCAAGTTAGACAGAAAAATCATAAAAATTCATTTTCTCTCATTATTTGAATTCCTGGGTTCATTAAAGTGGCAGTGTGTAGTTTCCTGTCACTAGGGGGTAGTACATACATTTCAGTATGGAAATGTATGTAGCTTTCTGTGGAGCAGAAAGCGTGCAACCTCGGCGTGACTCCTCAGACTTTGATGGTCCTTCAGTTAATTCCATCAAGAGAATGCAATGCCGATGATAATTATCTGGCGGTATAGTTAACGGATCTGCTCAGGATCCTGCGCCTGCCGATGATGTCATACTACTGCAATAACACTCGCTTTTTCGATTCTGTTCTTTCACATAGATTTTGGAAAGATTTTAGCAGTTTTGTTGTTAAATTAATTTTTCTTATCACCTAAACGTCTTTGAACATGGTAACATAACTTCCGTAAGTCGTACGTAAAGCCAATCATCTTGTGTGATGTCATCAACAGGAACAGGACTAAGAGCGGACCAGAAGGAAACATGGCATCTAATAAGACCTTACTTTTATGGTTATATGTTACGAAGCCGCCAACATTTTTTCAGCAGCTGGATGTCTTTTTATTCATTTTCAACAACATTTCGATGGACATTTCCAGACATTAACGGAAAAAATACACATTGTCACTTTAAGTTACTGTTTTAAGGGTGATTGACAGTTGGGTTGTATTAAAGTAAAAGCCTTACCCGTGATTCATGGCCAATCAGCTCTTTGCATTCATCACAGGTGTTTGAATACAGGTTGTCATAGCAGGGGATGCAGTAGGGTTTCTCATCCGACTGGATGTACTTGCGACCATACAGAGATTCTTTACAGCTGTCACAGTCAAATCGGTCGGCCATTGTTGTTTATGCGAGGCTGTAAAGCAGAGAAAAGATGTTCAGGTCAGAAGTAATTTGAAAACTAATTTTAAACTATTTCAAATGAAGACAAGCGATGAGGACAAGAGATCAAGTCAAATGACACCTTTTCCATTAAAGCATTTAGGTGACTGCATGAATCTTCATTGCCAATATTTGTGTAGCAAATGAGTTTGAGCATCACAGCAAATGAGCTGTTTGAGGCCAAATAGGGAAACAAGCACAGAACAAAACATAGAGGGAGTGGACAAAAGGGTAAATGGTGCATGCCACATAAATGTAACGTAATAGAGATGCATGATACACCATAGGAATGGCAGCAGTGGAAGAGTCATGTTGTTGTTAGCCAATCAGACGCGAGATGTCAAGTAAATGTATGTGTCAAAATCACTGATAATGTGTAAGATTCCCAATGCTGTTGTTTCTGCCTCCCCTAACTATACTTATCTGGCTAACGTCTACTTCCTGAAACAAGAGTGTCAGTTTTTATTTTGTTTCTTTCACAGAAAACGACGCACAAGGTATTAATTTATACCAGAAACCACAGAAAATGATTAAGAATATTGAGTGTTGGCCATCTTTAGGGTCAGAGGTTCAACTATTAGACAGATTTACGGGAGAATTACCTCTATCAGAAGCTAATGCAGGAAATAGGGGTAGTAGACTATGTTTACATTCAGCCTGCACGTCAAACGTAGAGTGATGGATCGTTTACCCTCTCAGTGTTCTAATGGTAGACTGCCCACCCCAGGACTGGGAGATCAGGGTTCACATACCGGATTGAGGGGTTAAACCACCAGTTCCCGAACGCAACCACTGCAGCAGCTCACCACTTCCCACGGGTATGGGCTAAAGGCAGAGAAGTAATTTCACCAGTGTGTGATGATGACTATGGGACTTTAACTTTTCAAAAAATGGTTTCTCAGTGAACCTGCTCTTTAAGTTCATTACAATGTTTGGAAACGTTTGTTTAATGCAGACAAAGGCAAATATTTAAGAAAAATACACATTGCACCCATTTAGCATCAACACTTGTATGTGAGAGAATACGTCTTTCAGAATAAAAGCCTGATATGGATACAGATGCAGGGGAGGGAGTATGATCTATAATCATGAATCAGCACACAACAAAGTGACAGGAAACTATTATGCAGGCATTATGACAACATCAGGTCGCCAAAGTGGCAGCATGGTTGGAGGATCGCCCAGTGATAAGTGCTCCAGTCCTGTGGCACTGGTGGCTATTCATCCACACCATCCTGCAATCATAATCAAACTTCAAGCTTGGACCGCACTGCTTGCCTTGTACTCACACAAGCACAATAAAGACATAAAAACACACACGCACACACACACAAACAATATGAGACAATTCACCAACAATCCATCATCAAAACGATTCTCAAGTTTCAGCATTCTGTGCTTTCTGGCAAAGCTTGAGTGAGTTCGGCTGAGAAAATCAAGATCCAACAGACTTCACCTGCTCACAGGCTTTTTTCTGCAGCACAACACTTCTTCCCCTGAGGCCTTTTCAACCCCCTTCAGTGACCTTAACACATAAATTAGAGTGCGGCTTCTCAACGCCCTTGTGTTTACTGCGCTTTAGCTCCCTTTACTACACTGCAACGTCTCTTTACTTAATAGTTAAATGGGATACATCAGGAGTATCTGATGACTCACATCAAGTATCCATCTGGAGGTTATGGCTCAATATCAGGAGCAGCTGTGGTTGGTCTGCGTAACTTTCAGCAAGGCTACGGTCAGAGTTGTAACATCAGTTTGACAAACCATTTATCAGACAAGACGCAGCGGTGTTGCAACGACCAGCACACATGACGTTTACATACGGAGTGTATGAATTCATCCGCTGTGGTAAAAAGGTACAGAATGTGCCGTCTTTGCCTGCCAGGTGAGAGAACGAGACGAGATGAGGCATGACTCACAGAGACTGTAAAAGTCAAAGCTCATTTCCAAAGCAAATCAGACAGCTACAGTGTTTATTGTCCTTTCAGATATGTGCATGTATCATCCACATATCTGCCAACCCAAGAAAGGCTATAAACGGGGTCAGAGGAACGTCAAAACAGGTGGGGTTAAAGGTCCAATGGTTAAACAACCCACATCCCAACTCAATAGTTTCCTCATTAAATAACTGTGACAAAAAAGGACTTCAAAGTCTGTTCCACAAATACGTTTAACTTCATAAACAAAAGGAAATGCTTGTTTCCACTGGCAGGTCTTGTAAAGTTTCCATTGCAGGGATTCATTTCAAACATGAGGGTTCGACTTGCCAAAGCAAAGCTTGTAATAAACTTCTGATGACACAGTCTCACAGAGAGGAGCATGACGTCAGTCATCTGACCCCGGGGGCGGCGCTAATACCGCTGACCCAGAAGCAAGGAGGAGAGGAGAGGAGAGGAGAGGAGAGGAGTGAAGAGGAGAGGAGAGGAGAGGAGAGGAGAGGGGAGGAGAGGAGAGGAGAGGAGTGAAGAGAAGAGAAGAGAAGAGAAGAGAAGAGAAGAGAAGAGAAGAGAAGAGAAGAGAAGAGAAGAGAAGAGAAGAGAAGAGTGTATATTTCTCACTGATCTGTACTTTCTTTGCTCTTCTATGAGCTCGCCTCCTAGGAGAGGTCGATCTCCTTCATGTCCAGGGCCCAAAGGCCGAGAGCCCAACTAATAATGCTTCCAAATACCAGAGATCTGAGTTCGACCCTCTGGGAGGAAATCATCACGCTAGTCCTGGTCCTGACATTTACTTTATTAAAGCTGCTAAAACTCATACTCTTACCTGTTGGGGTTTGTTATTGATTTCTTATCTTTGCTGTCCAGCCTTTTAGGTTGTGTTTTTTATTTAGAGCTTGTTTCAGTTAGTGTTTTATCTTTGAGTTCATTGTTTCTCTTTGTAATCCTCTCGCCTCTTCCTCACCAGTTAATCAGCCTCGTGGCTCTCCCCCAGTAATCACCTCGTCCAGCATTGATAAACCCGTTTGTTGTTGTTCTTTTAGAATCAGAATCAGAAAGGTTTTATTGCCATGTAAGCGAGAATCACAACATTGGGAAGTTGCTGCGGTCCATGGTTTAAAAAAAAGAAGATAAAAATAAGAGATAAGAAAATATAGGAAGTAAGAATATAATCATGATAAAATAATAATATAGAGTGGCAATACTTAGAGAAACGGCTGTTATACACAAGAGAGCGTAGGTACTAATCAGAGCGGATCAGTTCAGGTACAAAAACAACACAGGGTCAGGTGACTGGAGCCAAGCCACTGGAATTGGCAGCCCTAGGATCTGTTTCGGCACTCATTCGTCAGATCCTACTGTTGTGTTACCAACTTTGTTGGGAATTCTGAGTATGTCTCATAAGCCTTTTAACTGAATGCACACTTAGTAGTTTTAGCTCTCCTTTAGCACCCCCTAGAGTCACTGCCGAAAGACCAAAAGTGAAAGTTTTTAACACTTTAATCTAACACCCCCTCAGCCGTCAGTTTTTACAGGAGCGGTTCATCACTAAACCAAATACATCATCTGTCTTTAACATGCAGGAACCGTGCTGGAAGCAGACTCCAGCATGTCAGCTCCACTTTACTATTGACTAACAGGGTCCGGACACTCTGAAGTTGCAAGTGCGGTATTCTGGCCACAGAAGGTGGTGGGGTGTGACTTGATTCTTATAAACTCTGTAAAGAGTCGTTTTAGCACACACTGGCTCCTGTCTTGTGAGAACGACTATGCACGAATGTCTATATCTTGATAAATCTAAGTGATATATCCATCAATGCACACGTTTTTAACACCGGCATGACGAAATGCCGACCGCTCGCTGATACGTTTGCAAACAAACTTTGAACTTCTTTGCACACTTCCGGACATTAGATAGCAGAGGAATGCCAAGGCTGCACTCCGGCAGTCATCACAGCTTTTGGTGATTGGCATAAAGAAGTTGGATTCAGGGCCAGCCGTGAGACACCACAGAGCAGCATACCAACACAAGCATGCCGGCTGTAAAACTGTTGCTGGGAAACAAAGTCAAGGTTGGTTTCTGGTGAGGATACCAAGCTGTGTCCGTTCCCACAGGCTAGCCTGCAAAGCCCCAGCCCAAACTTTGCTTACGCTCCGCCTAATTCCAAACGAACATCCCGAACAGCCGGCTGGGAACAAATCTGCCAGCTCACCTCTTTTCTGACGTATGTTATTAGTATGCTTGTTAAATAGCTGTTGTACTGAGGCCAGATGAAGCACTTGACAACAATTACCATCGGCAGAGAGATTATCCTGACCACAAAGAGCAGATGGTTGTGTCATTTATCAACAATTTGAAGTTCTTACTAACTAAAATAAACTAAAACACTCCTACGATGATAGCTACCTCAGAAAAAAAACATCATACATTTCAGCTTAAAGTTTTTAATGAAAATATATGTGTAGGTCATTAGTTGATATTAAAAATTTACATTAAAGGGGACATATTATATAATACTTGCATTTTGCATCTTTATGTGCTGCCATGTAGGTCCCTACTGGCTCTATAAACACTCAGAACACTTAAAAAAAGGTCCATATATTTTCTGTCAAAGCAAAGATGGAAGGATATATTTATTAATGGTTAATATGAGAATGAAATATCTCAAACTTTAAAGCAGAGTGGCACAGCATGGAGGTGGTGTAACTGTGTCGACTCTGATAAAACGACGTGACCCCCTTTAGAAATCAGCCCCTCGGGATTACAATAGATGTAAAATAATAAAATCTGCCGTTAAATGAAGTCTGGAGTTATTCTGTTAAAAAGGAAACTGTTTTAGTAGAAACATAAAACCTGAGTCTGGTTAGTTTGAGCTTTATGAGCTCATCATGGCTGAGGGGCCTTTTAGTTAAAGTGGATACTACTGCAAGTGTGGAGTTTACTGTGCACAGTAGGATTTAATTTACATTCAAAGTAAAAAGCCTCTTGATCATCCTTAACCATCGGGGTCTCATGGTGACAAATAGACTCAAACAA